ACAGCCGACAGCGGCGGCGCAGCTGCTGTCGGCGATGGTGGCTGGCGACGGCGGCAGCGGCTGGATGGCGACTGCCGATGACGGCGGCGACAGCAGCAGCTGGCGGCTGCGCTGGCTGGCAATGGTGACTTGTGATGGCGGTGGGTGGAGGCACGGTAGTGACCGTGGCTGCGGAGGGAGGAGGCACGGTGTTGGCGACCGTGCCTGAGGTGGGAGGAGGCAAGGCGGCCTTGGGCGGCTAGCCAAGGGCGTGGTAGACGGCTGCATTTGACCGGCGTGGCGGCGTTTGGAGGAGAGGTCGGAGTCCGGCTTGGTGTACAGAGGCACAGCCGATGGCAGCGGAGGCCGGCTCAATGTGAGAGGCGCGGGCGGCGGAGATGGAGGCCGGCTTGGCGCGAGAGGCGCGGCCGATGAAGGGAGGCCGACTGGCGCGAGAGGCGCGTCCGGTGGAGAAGGCCGGCTTGGCGCGAGAGGCGCGACCGGCGGTGGAAGAGGCGACCTCGGTGCGTGGTGGACTTGTTGGTTGGTGTGGTGCGGTCTTCGGCGCACAAAGGCTGGCCGACGGGGGGCGTCGGTGCAAGGGCCCCACATGTCGGCAGAGTTTGAGTGGTGGGCGAGCATCGGTGCGTCAACCGTCGATTCGCAGGTGGTGAGCGGCGGGTGAAAACCCAGCTCGGCCTTGGCCGGACCGACAACGATGGTTAATTCCCCCTTCTGAGGGCGTTGCCGTGCTGTCTCACCCCTCAAGTGTGGTTGCCGGGCGAAAGCCCAGTCTTGGCTCTCAGCCTGACGGACGGCGGCGACTGTTTTTCCGTCGCTTCTCTTCTTGAAGACGTCGTTTTGGCACCCCCTTGCTGTAGGGCGATCTCGTCTGTGTTCCGTTGTTGGTCTAGCGACAGCTGGTCATGCTTAGCGGCAGCCGGTCCGGTGCTAACCTTCTCCGGTCGTGTGTATTGGCGCTGTCGGTGTGTGGGTTGGTGGTTTTTATTTTCCTTTTTTTTAGTTACGACCCTCTAAGGTTGTAATCTTGTAATTTTTTCCTGCTCTATCAATAGAATTTCGCACCGTCTTGTGCGAGTCGTTCAAAAAAAATAGGTTTAATAAATTCGTCTCGCGGTTTACAGGCGGATTCTGTAATTTGTTTTGTTATTAGATTACGTTTAATACTTTAAATGTGTGTCCATATATCGGATGTGACACGCTAAAACTTTACACCCTTCGATCTAAACACACCCTAAACTTCGAAATTAATCTGCCTGAAAAGACTAGTGCATATTAATAGCCCGAGAGTTTAAAAGAAAAAAGAATGGGAACCTATACAGGCTTGTCATGCAGCTGATATTATGAGTCAAAATTTTATTACTCTAATAACTCAACAGGAAACTCCTTTTGGCATGCATTCCAATCAAGACGACAATAGCAATATCTTAAATGAACCTATTGCTCATATCCCTCTACCTGCAGGTATTAGATGTTACAGTGATGCTTCATGGAAAGACAATAAAGTGAATGAATTTAGTAGAAAAGTACTGTATCGGATTTGAACCACTGACTCACGTCTTACCGCGGCATTACTCTACCACTAAGTAAAAAAAGCCCTTTATCGGATTTGAACCGATGACTTATGCCTTACCATGGCATTACTCTACCACTGAGTTAAAAGGGCTTCTTATTCAATTCCAAAATTAGCCACTTTCATTTCCCATTATAGGTCTACTCCATAATGTACATTATATCTGTATATATCGAGATATATAAGTCTATTCATGGTCAGGTTCAAAAAAATCTTAAGAAAATCAAGAAAAATAGGAAAATCTTTCATATTCTCTCTTATCACTTGCACAAAGTATAGGGTTTTTTATCTTTAGGCTATTGACTTTTCACATGCTCAGAACGGTCTGAAAAATTAGGGACTTTTTTCTTCTATTGGCTGATCTTATCATGAAAACTTTCTCCATTTATGTTTTATTTCCTCTAATTGGGTGGGGTATAAACGAATTCGCGCCCTTCATATACCCATATGGCTGGGTATTAATTTTCAGTGATATACTTCTTGTCTGTTTTGGTGAGAGGTTGAAACAATTTTTAACAGGCATCCCTTGGAAAAACCTTCGAGTTCAAAACTTTGCAATTTTTCTTAAGCGGATTTGTTGAAGCGATTTTCAGCAGGTACCTCTTCTCTTAGAAATATCTTAGAAATAGGGTACTTGAATATTCTCAAGGGATTCTGATTGGTGCATTTTGAACAAACTGTAGTGGAGTTTTATCACCAATTTTCTTGTAAAAGGCGGGCAGTAGAATTTATACTGCTCCTGGTTCAGGGTTTTCCGTTTCCGAAAACTAGCAAAAAAGGAGGGTTCTGGAACCCTTAAGGTTCGATGGTATATGGATATGGAAAATCCAACATGCCCCATCCTAATAGGAAAAGGAAGGGAACAGATACCCAATATGATTATTGGGAAGAACTTTTGGTAATGGTCTCGGGCCTATATGCTCTTTTTTGTGTGTTCTTAGTTCTATTCATCTTCTTTGATTCTTTTAAACAAGAATCTAATAAACTAGAATTGAGTGGAAAAGAAGAGAAGAAAAAGTTAAACGGAGAGAATCGACTAAGCAGAGACATTCAGAATCTTCTTTACATCAAGTAAATCCTTCGGCTCCTATGTGCCTTTTTCTTTAAGTTATTTATTGTTTCTCTCAAGCCATAGGGAAAGTGTCTATGATAAATAAAAAAAACATCTCACTCTTTCTCTATGGCCCAGATTTCATGATAAGTGGGGGAAGATGTTTTCTTCCCCAAATTCTTTGTTCAATTCTGAACAAAAAAGAAAGTAAAGGAAAGGCCCGCGATCGAAGTACCAACCGCTAACTGTGAGGAACCTTCTCTGTTTCATTAACTAAGAGGGAATTAGCATCTTTCTCGAATGGCTACCCTTGACAAAGGGTAGCGTTGGTATCAGAATTTACATGTAGCGGGTATAGTTTAGTGGTAAAAGTGTGATTCGTTCTATTAATAACTGAATTTGAAATGATATACTTAAGGCGTCCTTAAGGTTTTTTATATTCCGATGAAAACTTTAGTTCTTAGAAAGGATTTACTCCTTTTTCTCTCAATAGCATATTGAGGAAGAATATGCATTTTCGCGATTTGTACCCAAAGACTAATTGAAATTGCATCCAAAAAACAAATAGGATTTGGATTATGAGTACAGAGTCGCGAAGCATAATTTTGCATTGGATTAAGGATTCCAATTTTTTAAATATGAGTAAAGGATCTATGGATGAAGATACAAAAAAATTTATTTCCAATCGTAACTAAATCTTCTTTTGTTAAAAAAGGAAATGGAAGCCAAATAGCTAAAAAACGGTAGTTTTGGTTTACTAGAACCATCAGCATATTGTTTCAGCTCGGTGGAAACCCAATTCTTTTCCTCAGGATCTCTTAAATGAAATTAGGGAACGAAGTAATTAGATTAGATAGATTTAGGCAAATTTCTATCTCCTACTCTTTAGGGATCATCTAGAAAGCAGAGAGCCTTGGTTCCATTCAGACAAAAAAGCTGACTTAGATGTTAAGTGGTGAGAATACCCATAAAGGAGCCGAATGAAATCAAAATTTCATGTTCGGTTTTGAATTAGAGACGTTAATAATAATCAACCAACGTCGACTATAACCCCTAGCCTTCCAAGCTAACGATGCGGGTTCGATTCCCGCTACCCGCTCCATTCTGTATAAAATAACTATTCTATTTGTCTAGACATGGTAGAGGCCTGTATTCAACCTTTTTCGTCCACCGGTTTCCAGCGCTCCAGAGCGGAGTAGAGCAGTTTGGTAGCTCACGAGGCTCATAACCTTGAGGTCACGGGTTCGATTCCCGTCTCCGCACTTAGCAGTCTGTATAAAATAACTATTCTATTTGTCTAGACATGGTAGAGGGCTGGGTGGTTGGGCGGTATCCAACCCTTTTTATTCATTAGTTCCCGACCCTATAAGGCCAAATTGAGCAGGTTGCGAAGTAACTTGCTACCACAAGAGGAACTCTCAAGGCCCCCTCCCTACCTTGCAGAAAAGAAAAAATAAATGAAAGAAAGGCACAGTCTATCTCCCTTCCCTTTAAAAGCTGTTTGCTGGTTGTTTGTTTCGGTGAATCCCCGGTTTAGGGAACCCTGTTGCCGAGTTCGATTCCCGCCGCTGTAGTGCTCTTTTTTTGAGTCTCAGGGTTTGGGATTTTCATTCATAATCATCAAAATCATATGGGCGTGTTTGTTCAAGGTTTCTCTCACAAATTTACTTCTCCCTTTCAAGCTGAACTTGCCGGTATCATATTTTGGGCTTCCATGTTCGTGCAAGACTTCAGATGCAGGACCCTATCCTAATTTCAGACAATCAAAGTCTAATCAAGGCTATACAAGATTAATCTTTCATGCAAAAGCCACCTCACTGGTCCTTTTTCAACTAAAGTTTCTATTGCAGGGTCAAACAAATAAATTTCGGTGGGTCCCAAGAAAAGAAAACAAAATGGCAGATTATTTATGAAAACAAGCAAGTGCATTTGTTGCCAATGTACAGGTTCACAAAATATGCCAAAATATCACTCATACCTGTCATCCTTCAACGTCTTGTCCTACAATGGAGATGTTATTCTCCAATCCCTTTGGAGATGCTTCTAGTTTAATAAAGTTGTTAAGTTCTAAAAAAAAACACGCTCTCCACACGCTCGCTGATTTTGAGTCACGTCGACTGCTACAATCAATCACCCAGGAGTGAGTGTATAATATAAGACATTTTGAGTTTTCGTTTGTATTGTTTGACCACTCGTCTTATTCAGAAAATTTATGCAAATATAAAAAACGAAAAGTTATGCTTAAAGTACCTTAGATAATAAAGTAAGTAAAATAAATAAATAATAATTCTAAAATTTTTTGAATAAGACGAGTGGTCAAACAGTGCAAGCAAAAACTCAAAATCTCTTATATTATTAGACGGAGGGAGTAGTAATCAAGAGTATTAGCGGTCACCGAACAGGGCAAATCAATCAATATACTCCGCATAGTACTCCTGGAGAACTAGAGACTGGGCATCTCCAATGTTTATGATCATAAGTAGCATTAAGGTGGGTCCCACTATTCTTATGGTTATTACCACAATGTTTGAAGCAAGAGTAAACTTTAAGATGGGTCCCACAATGTACTATTCTAGTACTTCTTTTATCAGCCATGCAAATTTTTCATCCTCACATTCATTTTACCCTATTATTTTATTGCTTGTGGTCAAGCCATAAGGTTAAAGCTTTCTTTTGCATTTAATGCCTTATGGCTTTGTTTCACAATGTATATGGTCACTATAAAACCTTATGGCCTCTTCTTATGGCCATATTGTGGCTGCCCTGCAAAAAGGAAATTAATACGAGGAAGAGCACAGATGAGCAATAGAAGTATCAGGGGTGTCAATAGTCACACAGCACTAACACTAGACTGCCAACTAGCAGTTCAGGTGATCACTGATCAGAGATAGCACCAAATAAAAGGTCTATCGAAGGAGTACATCATACTAGTTCAGGTGATCTTCTCCATAGAAGCAAAAGCCCTCATGTCTGGTGGTAAAGTGCCAGCTTACAGGAGAGGGAACAATCCAAAACCATGTCAGCTGACACCCTGTACTGACACTGACGGCACCTGGCTGTGCTGGGGCAACGTATCGTGATGATACGGTGACCTGGTGCTACTGCTGGATCGGTGCAATACTGAAAAGTGAAAAGAATCAAGACATGCACAGAGTGAGACGATAAACCAAAAAAAGACACCAGTACTAGATTAGTATAGCTAACTCCAGTTACCTGAACGGCATTCAGGCCCGTAAGTATCCACGACGAGGCCACCATGGTGGCCACCATGTAAGCACACACGGAGCCAAGTGTGCCCATGATGATGGCCACACACCGCTGAGGAGAAACCCCTGGCACAATCAAAACAAAATGCGTCTCTGTAGTGTCGCTCCTCGGAGACCGCGACTGCCTCGTCATCCATCAACTGTGTTTTGTCACAAGTTAGGTTTGGTTTAGTTCCCTAACTTTTTTTTAGAAAAAACATTACATCGAATCTTTGGGCACATGCATAGAGCATTAAATATAGATAAAAGTAAAAACTAATTGCACAATTTGCATGGAAATCGCGAGACAAATCTTCTGAGTCTAATTAATCTATAATTAGCCATAAGTGCTACAATAACCCACATGTGCTAATAACAGCTTAATTAGGCTCAAAGGATTCGTCTCGCGGTTTCCAGGCGAGTTATTCCCCCCGTCCCAAAATATAAGCATTTTTAGCATAGTGACAAGTCAAATATTTTTAACTTTAACTATTAATAGCAAAAGAAATTAAAAAGATCAAACATCTAAAATTAATGTTACTAGATTTATCATTAAACAAAGTATCATAATATGCAATTTTTTTTATTTAAAACATCTTACTTTTATAGATATTGTTGGTCAAAGTTGCATATCGGAAACCGTGTTAGACTCTAAAAATGCTTATATTTTGGGACGGAGGGAGTATGAAATTAGTTTTTTTCATTCATGTCCGAAAACCCGTTCCGACATCTGGTCAAACATCTGATGTGACACTCGAAAATTTTCTTTTCGCGAACTAAACACACCCTCATTAGTGATCTAAGGCCTGGTTTAGCTCCCAATTTTCTTTTTCCCAAAAACATCGCATCGAATCTTTGGACACATGCATGGAGTATTAAATATAGACAAAAACAAAAAATAATTGTTTAAATTTACATGGAAATCGCGAGACGAATCTTTTGAGCCTAATTAGTCCATGATTAGCCATAAATGCTACAGTAACCCACATATGCTAATGACGGTTTAATTAGGCTCAAAAGATTCATCTAGCGGTTTCCAAGCGAGTTATGAAATTAGTTTTTTTTCATATCCGAAAACCCCTTTCAACATCTAGTCAAACATCTGATGTGACATCTAAAAATTATTTCTCGCGAACTAAAATGTGCCTAAGCAAGCAGCACACGAATTGAATGGTAAGTAGTAATGAACAAACCTGTAGGCTACGAAGGCACGCGTGATCCGCCGAGGCGACGTCACCCTTGCAGATCGTACAGACTCCCCTACAGCGCCCGCCGTCTGGGTCACTGACGTGGCGAATCACTGTGCGGCCGTCGCTGTCGATCACGCGGCCGGTGGTGAACCTCGAGTTCTTGCTGCCGAATGTCCCAGGCGCGCAGGAATGGTGGCTACCACAGCAAAGACCACAGCAAAACCCAGCAAACACGGTCGAACCTCTCGCATGGCACAGCAAAATCGTCCAGTAGGAGGTCCTGCGCCCAACGGTGTCCGGCGACCTCGCCAGAGCGCGCCTTGCACTGGAACGTGCAAAACAGCGCGCTCTCGGCGGCTACCAGCACGTCCGCACACGTCTTGCAGCGCCGCCCGCTCGGTGGACGCAGGGGGACCAGCTTCCCCTTGCCCTTCTCTACTGGAATGGACTGAAAAGAACACATCGAAATGGTCAAGATTAACTGAACTTCGAAGATCAAACAATCAACAATTCAGACAGGAACAAGCAATGAACAACTTGCATCCGGCGTACCTCGATCCCGCCAACAAACCAGCTCCAAGGCTCATCCCCAATCACACGAAGATAACCTCCACCTCCTCCGCCTAAGAACCTAATGAGCAACGTGTCGTGTCCAGCCGCGTGGGTCTGGTGGTCTTCCTCGACGCCAGATCGGCACTCCGGTGCCACGCAGTAGAATAAGCTCTCGGCCTCCTCCTCCTCCTCCTCCTCCTCCTCATCGAAGAGGCCGTACACGTTGGCCTTCCTCTCAACGAGGGAAACGTCAGAAAAGATCGTCGTGCACCATGGCAGCAATCTGCATTGAACCAAACCAATCAGAGATTCAGCAAGAAACGCAATCTAATGATTCCCAACAAAATTCGATCCCGAATCCCAAATTTTTGTACCGCAATTGAACCAAGAACCCGATCTTTTCTCACAATTCCATCCAGAAACCCTCACCCAATCAAGAACCACACAAAAAGATGAACCCAATCTCACAACTCCATCCAGAAACCCTCACCCAATCAAGAACCACACAAAAAGATGAACCCAATGTCTCCAAGGGTCCAAGAACAGGGGGAAAACTCACCTCTTCCCGAGACTTGGGGCCCTCGAGCAGGTGCTCGACTCGCCGACCTTGCTGCTCTCGGAGTAATCGGCTGCACGTGAGCGCCGCCGTGCGCCGTCTGCCGCCGGGATGCAGGTCGATGAGGGCGCATTGCCGTGCGTGTGCGCCGCGCGCCGCTCTGCGTCTTCGTCGGCCTTCCCTATAGGTGGGGCGGAGATGGAAGTGGAGGCGCGTGCAGCGGCGCGCGCTTTGCGGCGCGCGTCCGTCGGAGGAGAGCACATGATCCGGCAAGAACTGCTCGCCGGAAACCAGAAGCGAGGAGGAAGAAGAGGAGGAAGACGAAGGAGAAGGAGAGGGAGAAGGAGGGAGGGTGTTTTTTCTTTTCTTGCGACGGATTCAGGAGGGACAGAATAAATAGGACGCCCGCCGAGTTGCTTCGCTTCGAACAATCACTTCTTTACGTCTTCCTTCGTGGCTTCGCGTATTCTTGTTTTACGTTTTTACCCTTTTTTTTTCTTTTTTTTTCTTTTTTCCTTGTGACACATTCTCCCCGTTTTAGGGGGCGGGCCCACTGTGTGTACATAGGTATTTTAGATGAATACGTAAGTTTTAGTTTGACAAAAAAAACATATATGTAATGTATAATACATATATACATAGGAAAAGACAAAAAGTAATAAGGGTATATTGAACCAAAGAGGCTAAAATGCCAGATTTCAGACTTCCTGGGCATAGCTCTCCTCCTTGCATGCGTAATGGGCCGAGCCAATTGAGCAAATCCAATCCCCATACCCCTTTGCGTCTGATGAACTAAATTTTAAAATATACCGTTCATTTTTTTTTTAAATATTCGGGATGCAAAATTTTTTGAAGAAATATATCGTCGATCTTGCATAATCTTGCACGAAAATAACGTAAACGTGACGTGGTGGATGGACGCACGATAAAAGTGCGAGACAGCGCAGTCTCGCCAAATCAATCGGCGACACCATCCAACGGTAATAGTACTGTAAATACGGCTCCATTTGATTAGAGATTAAATTATCTAATTAACTATTAACTAATAATAATTAGTGAATAACTTAATTAATCACTAATCAAGATAATTAACCATTAATTAAATCGACATGGCTCCGTATCACTGTTTGGTTCGGCAAGACCATTCTGTCTCGCACGAGACCATGCGGTCTCGCGCTGCTGGTGTGCGAGACCGCGTGATACTGCCCGTGACATCGCGCTCACATCGTTTTCGCGTAATGGTTGTGCGAGACCGACGATATATTTCTAAAAAAATTTTGTATCCCGTGTATTCCTGAAAAAATTGATTGAACATTGTATTTTTCAAATTTAATTCTGCTCCCCACAACGGCATGACCACACCTCCGGCAGGCTGCAGCCTGCAGCCGATTCGTTGCCCTTGTCGCAACCGCACCCATCCGTGGCAATGTGGGTCTTCCTCTCCTCAGAATCATGCATCCACCTCCTCCGCCGCTCCTCCACCTCCTGTTTGACCCCAATGCACTTCCAATACCTAGTCTCCAAGTGCGACCTCTCGCCGGTTGCGCCTGCCAAGGGCGTCCCGCGATTCGTACACTAGACTCCACATCCAGGCCCAACGATGCGCCGCAAGCGCCGGACCAGCCCGTGTTTAGTCTACTACGCTGCCGCGACGCGATGCAACCGATCGATGTTTGGTGCGTGGTAGCGTTGGGGAGCGTGGACCGGTGAGCTCGTGAGGATCGAGGAGCGAGACGCCCGCGCCGAGAATTGCACGAAACCCATCCGCCGGGGCGGGGAGCGCGGGGGGAAAGCATTGCTCACTGCCGAGTTCTAGCAATCGTGCGCGACGTGTCATGCGAGCTTGGTGGCTCTGCTTCCTGCGGACCGAGTGTGCCGTCGCAGTAACCACCCCGGCCTTCTTCAACCCAGCCGAACACAAGGGCTGCTGCCATTTTAGCATTGGGGTAATTGCAAATTTACCACTACTTTAAATAGTTATTGCAAAACTGTCACTAGAAAATTACAAAAATACCACTGGAACTATCATTCGAGTGGCATCCTTGCAAAATTAAAAAAACCAGTGGCAAATTTGCAAATGCCCCTTTAGCATTCGATAGCCTCTGGGCCCACATGCAAGCGAGAGAGGTTAGGGTAAATGAAAAACGAGACGCATATCATCACAGGTCGTAACCGCATGAGACGAACATGGTGTCGTCGTCCTCCCCGTCGTTGCCTAGTACTGGCTTGAACTCGACGACCATGTAGTTCCCCCGTCTCCCCCGGGTAGGGGACGCGGGAGTTGGTGCCGGCGGCGATGTCGCAGACAAAGTAGTACGGGGCCCAAGGTAGCGGCTCGTCGGAGTCCGGAGGGGATGGGGGCTTAGACGAGGACGAGCCCAGCGGAGGGGTCGAGCGCGAGGACGGAGACGTCACCGAGCAAGACGCGCGGGGACACGGTGAGCACCGACTCGCGTGGCGGCGCGGCGAGCTCAAGGGAGACGTCGTCGGCGCCCTGCAGCAGGACGGGCTCGCTATCGCCGCCTTCGCCGCCGCACACGCACGCCTTGCGGTTCAGGAACACCCACGTCGGCGACGACGGAGGAGGCGTCATACGAGCTCGATCGGTCGTCGACGACGACGTGCGCACTGTTAGAGTAGATGGTAGATAAAGATATATTAGAATATGATTAATTTGTGTGGATTCCTTCCTTACATGTAATCCTTCCTTATCTCTACCCATGTATCTTCTATATATATCGGCCCCCGAGGCTCGATACAACATGTCCAATATTCGCAGTATTCCTCTCTCCCTACACTATCCAACATGCAAGTACGGGAGTAAAGGGAGGAGTAGAAGTACCTCCGTCCCATAAAAAATCCATTCCTAACATCCCAAAGAGAGATTAGTGAAGAGTAAAAATGACTAAAATATTCCTCATTATTAGAAAAAGTAGTAATATCGATAGGTAGATAAGGGGTGTTTAATAGAGAAAACTTCTTAATTTATGTACCGATGTTAGATAGGATGGTAGTTAGTTTTTTGTGGGACAAAATTCAAACTCTAGAAATTACTCTTAAGTTTTTTTTGGACGGAGGGAGTAGAAGCTAGTTTTGAGGAGAGAAGGGGATGAGGATGTCAGCTCTGCTGGAGTACCTGATCTGCTACAGGGTGCTGCTCTGAAGGAGGGTGTCAAGCAGACTTCCAAGGATAGGCCAGCAAGAATGATTAAACGTAACCCAAGGGTGTTTGGGCCAGAGTGGGCTTAAGGCCCAGGCCAGCTGTAAGGGTGTGAGTTGCGTGTGGAGTGTGAATTGGTGAGAGAGCGATATAACTAACTCTGTAATATTCTGTTTCATTCGGCAAGAAAGAAGGTGGCGATGGCGGCGGCGGTGCCAATCCTGTCGGATTGGTAGACGATATCGAGTTCTTGAGAAAGTTTGTGTGTTCTTAGTTAGAGTAGCTAACAAATCTGGTATCAAAGCCGAGCTGAAAATTTTTTCTCTCAATTCGTTCTAATTTTGCGATAATTCCTGGGCGAGGTGGGGATTGTTGCCTTGTGCGACGAATCCCACAAAAGCTTCGGCTCCCTCAACTAGGTCCGCAAGATTTGAGCGTTTTGCCACCACGGCTCTTTACGAGAAGCCCCGCTACGTCACCAAGCAGGCCGCGAAGCTCATGGATCACGACGGCAAGCTTGATCTTCTTCTTCGCAAGATGGAGGAGACGGAGAAGAAACGGGAAGAAAGCGACAAGCGTCTGGAGAAATTGGAGGAGCAAAGCAGGGCAGAGTTCTTAGCCCTCAAGCTGGCGGTTGAGTCGCGGATCCCAGCGGTGGAGAAGCATGTGGATCTCCTACACGGCTCGGTGGTGGATCTGCAAGAGAAGATGGAGAAATTGCAGTCCGTGGTTCAGGATCCTTCCCGTGAATGTTCTCCTGCTCCGGATGCTTCTGGTCAAACCTTCAGTACTCCCTCTCCTACCTCTCCCAATCATGATTCTGATGTTTTGGATCCTACTTTGGGGAATTGGGCTAGTGCTGGCAATACATCTGGAATTGGGGGATCAGTACCACCTATGTCCTGTCCACAGTTTGACGGTGATAATCCTCAAATGTGGAAGTGCAATTGCGAAGAATATTTTGAGGTCTATGGGATTAATCCAAAGCACTGGGTTAGAGTGGCTGGCTTGAATTTCACTGGTAATGCAGCTTTCTGGCTCCAGTCTATGCGCTCTAAGCTTGTGGAGGTTTCATGGGGAGAATTTACTGAACATGTTTGCCTTCGATTCACTAAGGACAGGCAGGAAGTGTTGATTCGTCAGTGGTTTCATATGATTCAGGATTCTTCCGTTTCTGCATATGTGGAGAAGTTTGATAGTGTAATGCATCAGTTGTTGGCTTATAATAGTTCACTGCCTCTCAATTATTTTGTCACCAAGTTCGTGGAGGGATTAAAAAAGGAGATTCGTTCCGGTGTGCTTATGCAGAAACCACAGGATCTGGACTCAGCTTGTTCTTTGGCCTTATTACAAGAGGAAATTCTTGAAGGAGTTCCTTCTGTTTCTTTAAAACGAGTGGATTCTGCTTCTTTTGTTAAACAGTTTCCTAGACAGTTCTCTCTAGGCCCTTCTACTCCCAAGCCTGTTTCAGTTATGTCTCCTGAATCTCAGTCTGCTTTTAAAGTCAGAGCTGATAAGTTGGCTGCATTGAAATCGTATCGCAGATCTAAGGGTCTTTGTTTCACCTGTGGAGAGAGATGGAGCAGGGAGCACAAATGCAGTCCATCAGTTCAATTACACATTGTTCAGGAGTTATTGGAGGCTCTACAACAGGATGATTCACATCAGGAACTTGCTGACTCTGATTCTGTTGAGACAGTTGTGATGGCTTTGTCACAGCAAGCTTTCTCTGGCACTGAATCTGTCACTTCTTTCAGATTAAGAGGTTGGGTTCAGGGTATTGAGGTTCTGATGTTAGTAGACTCTGGGAGTTCTCATTCCTTTTTGGATGTTTCTCTGACCTCCAAACTAAAAGGGATTAGACCTTTACTCAAATCGGTATCTGTCAAAGTTGCTGATGGTGGCATTTTGTCCTGTTCTTCTTTTATCCCAGCTTGTACTTGGTGTACTCAAGGCCAATATTATCAAACTGAATTCAAGATACTTCCATTGGGGGCTTATGATGTGATTTTAGGCATGGACTGGTTAGCTTCCTTGGGGCAAATGCATGTTGACTGGTTTGCTAAATGGATGGAATTTGTTAAAGATGGCCATCCAGTTAAA